CATAGTCTGGGAAATCTTTGATACCGTTTCCCTTGTATTTATCCCCATATACTAATTTTTCATTGAATTTAACATGTCTGCTTTCATAATACTTCCCTAGCTCTGGCTTTAAGAGTTGATACCCTGTTGGAGTATATCCAACCAAGACCATACCTACACCTCGAGGTCCAAACTTTGGACCAGTGTTTCTAGCAATTTTTACATAACTTAAGCTACCGAATCTTTTGATTTGATTAATGTCAAAGCTGTGATTAGGTGCGAATCTTTCTAAAGGAGTTATCATATTGTTTGATTTATGTGGAGTCCTATTGTAAGCATAAACTGCAGCTGATAAGCCCAGATCCCAGATGCCTTTTGGCAGTCTTGAGTCAAACATATAGCACCTAACCTTTTTCTGGATAGTTTGATTAAACCTCTCAGCGACACCGTTGTGTTCTGGAGTATCAGGGGAGGCTAACTGTAATTCCGCCCCTAGACCCTTAAGAACTTCAATTGTATACCCGCCTGTATATTCTGTTCCCTGATCTGATCTAAGATAGCATACTTTCGCGTCATAACCCAGTAGATTACGCGCGCTTCTAATGAACATCTCAAGACAATGTCCTGTTTCACTTTTCGCCTTCATTGGATAAGCCATAGCGAATCTTGAGAAGTCATCGATGAACACAGAAATAAATCTGTATCCCTTAGGATGAGAAATTGGAGTAATAGGTCCCATCACATCTGAGTGAATTATTTGCAATGGTGCTGTTGCTCGCCTGCGCACCGACGTGAATGATAATTTATTGAATTTAGACGTTAAGCAGACCTCACAAACTCTAATGAATTCATCATCAAATTGTACTGCATTTAATTCTTTGTTATCTGGGAATTTCTTTTGTAGTGCCTTGAGGTAACTCGTTGAGGCANACATCTGAGTGAATTATTTGCAATGGTGCTGTTGCTCGCCTGCGCACCGACGTGAATGATAATTTATTGAATTTAGACGTTAAGCAGACCTCACAATCTCTAATGAATTCATCATCAAATTTTACTGCATTTAATTCTTTGTTATCTGGGAATTTCTTTTGTAGTGCCTTGAGGTAACTCGTTGAGGCATGTCCAAATCTACAATGCCACAACATGACATCATGATTCCTCATATAGCTATTTTTATCAATTGCAAGTTTTGGGAAATCTTCTAACGAGTCATCCCATGGTAATTCATCAACATCTTGCAATTTTCTGTCCCAAATGGTGTAATCAAAATTTGATTGTTCATAGGGAATCTTTTCTTTATTAATAATTTTCTCTTTTATTAAATTTTCACTCCCTTTTTCATTATTCTTTTCATCCATTTTATTTTCTTCCTCATTACTCTTATCAATTTCGTTTGTTTTCTCACTTGTTTCGTTCTGTAAGTTTGCTGTGACATTTCTGGTGAGATATCTGTTTACCTCATTTTCACCCCCAGTGACATCAGCTACATTTGCTACTACTCGCCTGTTTATTTGCTTGAAAGAATTCTCACTGATAGAGTTTGACTTTACTATTTCTAAATCGATTATCCAGTAAGGTTTTCTGTAAATCCCCGAGATGAAAAGTTCATTCGACACTGGATCAAATATATCAATTTTCTTGTCATCTAAGTAGATTGCTAATCCCATTTCGGCAAATTTTCTTAATGATAGCACATTTGCTTTAAGAGCTTCTGCAAAAATAACTTTGTCAACTTCTACTAATTTACTGCTCGCCACTTCGATTTCTACTATTCCTGCTCCCTTCGTTTTCAAGTCCGCTGACTCATTTTTATTCGCACATCTAATTACTCCACAATCTAATTCGTTAAAAGTTTTAAATATAATTCTGGAATTTGTTAAATGCTCGGTCGCGCCTGAGTCTGCTAGAAAGTCTGTCAAAAACTTATTTCCATTTGTTTGTTTACTATCTGCATAAAATATTTCAGCAGTTGATTGATCATAATTTTCTTTTTCCTTACCTTGATTGGAGTTATTTTTCTCTGTAGTTTTGTCGGGATTAGATTTCTTGATTGATTTGTGAGATGACTTAAACCCATGTTTGTTCTCACTTCTCTTATAGGAGAACCTACTCTTATTGAATCTTCCTCTTTTAATTGGACCATATGTTTCACCTCTCATTGGTCTTTTCATTCCTCTACCATTACCTCTATATTGATCTTGATAATTGTTACGATAGTTAAATTTAAAATTGGAATTATACCTTGGAGTCTGTTTAGAGTATCCTGAACCACTTGGTGCAGAGTCATTGTGAATTCTGTTTGGGCAATCCCTCGCCTTGTGATTCCCAAACTGGTTGCACTTGTAGCACAAGTATCCTTTCCCTTTATTGGGACAGTCTGGTCCCTTGCGTCCATATGCCTGACACGCAAAACACCTTGGCCCCTTGTGCTGTGCATAATTAGCAGTTTTAATATCAGAATCTGAGAGCTCATTTGTCATTGTAGCTTCTTCTTCTAATATCGCAATTTTTCAACTCGCCAAAAGTCAAGCCCACACCTATAGCTTTCCTTGTTACTTTTTCAATAATTTTAATGTTGGGAAAAGCTTTTATTACTGCATTGTAGAATGCATCTTTCTTTTCGCTTTCACTTAGAGGAATGGTGTCGGGAGCATTTTCATAAGTTGCTATTTTTTTCATCAAACATATCGTTAAACTCACCAGCTGTCATTTTAGCAGGATTATATCTCATATTATAAAGGTCTTGTCTCACCGAGTGTGAAGTTACATTAAACTCAGCCATTTTCAATTCTTTAAGTTTCTTCAATATTTCTTTTGGATCTTGTAATTTGATAATTTTAGGGTGATAACTTCTGTCCAAATGATTGATCAGAATTTCTCTAACTTTGTGCTTCTGTTCTGCAAGAGTTTTCTCGTCCACAGTAACCAGAATGCTATCGTCAATGATGTGTAAAAGTTTATTAGTTTTAATTTCTGACGTGAAATAATCATAGAAATGTTCATACTTTATTTTACTGTCCATTTTGTAATCTCTTTTGAAACTCATTCCCTTGTTAAGCAATTCAATTTGTAATTTATTGGTTACCTCGCCAGCTAATTGACTCAAAGGATTTAGATTGTTTACTTGACTTGATTTTGCCTGATTAATTTCATTTTTCTGTTTATTGACCATTGAACTAATTTAACTTTCTAGATTTGTATGCTTATCCGACATCACTCCTCTATTTTTGTCATTATGCTTTTTGTCCAAGGCGCTCAACAGTTCCTGTACTTCCCTTTTGTCTTGTGCTCTCGCCTCAGCATACAGTCTCACTTGGTTTCTGTTCTCTGTTAGACCTTCATACAGTGCTTTTGTTGAAGCTATATTTGAGCTACATAGCTTTTCCACCATGCTCTTCAACTCAGCCAACTGTGTGTCTACAGAGACTGTTTTGACAGTCTTGTTGCCGTTAGGCTCAACTGATTCATCGTCTAGATTAGAATTTACTAATTTCAATTTAATATTTACTTTATTATCTGCTGTAATCTTGGGTTTCAGTTTGATTTGGTCAGTTTTGTCAACATTAATATTACCTGTAATATTCTCGCTTGTTTTCTTGCCTGCCCTTATTTCGCCGCCATTTAACTCGCCTCCAGTCAATTCGCTTGACCTGGACTCGCCTGTGGCCCTCGCCTCTGTATTTACCAAATCTTCACTCATTTCACTTGACCCATTCTCGATCACAGCTGTTGTTGACACTTGACTCTTCGGACCGTAACCTGGTAGATACATTGGCTTTTGTTCAGCCAACAATGCAGATTCTAACACAGTTAGACATCCCCATTGATCCTCTGAGAAATCTCTCTTATCTAATCTAAAGAGACGGAAAATTTAGGATTATTGTATCTGGTTACATTTTTTATATTCAGGTCCGAAATCCCAAACTCGACTTGCTAAACATAAACAAACCGAATTCAGAATGAATGTGCTCTTCAGAAAATCTAAACATAAGACCTCCTCCAAACACATTCAAGTCTTTTATGATTGCGAGAGATTGATTTAAATTTCTCAAGCAATTTGACGTCTTAATATTGCGCGTTTCTAATGTGTATAGTATGCTCGCCTATTTACACATATGCCTGATGTCTCCCCTGTTACATATCCAGTTCCTTCGTCTGGAAGTACATGTACTTTATCGTCTATTATTGCCAGGGAGACTACTTCTCCCTCATGGTTTCCTTCGATTAGATGTTGTCTAATTAGGAGTCTCCACACTTCATACAGAAGTTCTTTATCAGCTGTAATTATTTATTTATAAATATCTTCGTCTAAAGATAGCAATTTTAAAATTCAATTTCATTGATTCGACCCATCAAATATTTAATTTGTTATTCTCGCCTATTAAATATTTCTAAATTCAATATTCTCACCAATTAAATATTTTGATTTGGATGCATCCTTAATTTGTAAATTTCAATTTTGCACTAGTGTCTATTGATTTTATTTTATTGCTTTACATTTCGCTGGTGGACCCCGCACACACGCGGAACGCGGCCGAGAAAGAGAGAATTTTTGTTTTTCACACCAATTTTTATATATACACACTAATTTTTATTTTTCTTTCTATTTCTTATTGTTCTCGCCTTGCTCGAGCAATGTGTGTGGGACTGCAGTCGTCCCTCTCTCTCAGACGCACCCCGGTTGCGCGCGTAACCCACCCGTTGCGTCTACTTGTTGAAGCCTGTTGAAACCCGTGCTCGCCTTCACTGCCGAGAAACTATTGTCACGGCGTCACTTGGCTTTCTTCTTTTGTTTTTCACGAAATATGATTTTATTTATGACAAAAGATATTTCTTGCTTTTCAGTGATTTTTTGTGAATTTAATTGGATTTCTTTATTAATTCTTTTCAGTCTAAAATCTCGATTTCAGGTCGGCGTCGTGGACAATTTATTTCCGGCCGCCATTTTGATCACTTCTATTTTTCGTTCTCACCAATTCACTTCACTTAATTAATGCATTTTTCAGTACTTACTTTTTCTCTGAGTACTTTTCATTTTTTCTTCCCGTCAGTCGTCACTCACCCAGATCGCCTCGATTTTTCCTCTTTTTGGATATTGCTTTGTATCACGTGTGATCCATCCGGACACGTGCCCGGCCGCCCGATAGCGTCCTTTTTGGAATTTCCGATTTATCGCTTTCAATCCTTTAATTTATGATAAATTTTAATCACGCGCAGTTGAAGTGTGCTCGGCCCATAACCTGAAGGGTTATTAGGGACAGAAATAACGATTAAACATAGTTTTATTATCGTAAAAATAATTAAGCTTTATTCAGCAACGTAATGCGACAACGGTCGAGGCACAAGTGATGCACAGTACGAGTATATCATTGAGAGGCGCAACGGCGCCGTGGCGACACAGTCTGCCACACTGTCGGTAAAAGGGAGACTGGCGTAGGGAGTTATATTTCAACAGATCACATTATTCCGCGCATGCAAATTAATATCATGATTTAAGAGAACAACTGTATCTGAAAAATGACGGGCGTAATTTTTCCAAATCCTGAAGCCGTACACATAAAGAGGTTGAATTTTTCCAGTAGTTCTTTTGGGGATTAACATAGTTAATAATTCTTTATTCCGAGGAGTTGCCTGTTCTATCACTTGAAAGCAATGTCCACTCCATGAATCGATTAACAGTAGACTTTTTGGTCCCACGTTTGGAAAGAATACTTCTTCTAGCCAAATTTGAAAGGGCTCTGGAATAGTTGCAATGGGATGAACATTACAATCAGTACAAATAAGTTTGAAATATCGTCTTACCAGACGTCAATTTCCCTGACTTTGAAGCCGTTATGTAAATATTAGAAGGTCTGAATAGATTCTCCTGAACCCTTGGACCAAACGTTCCGGAAGGTTCCTTGTAAACAATGAAGAGAGGTGACAATAATTTTCCATCTGCTGATATGGTGGGTTGTATGGTATAACTGTGTGTCGTTGATGTTACAGATTGTACAATGCATGAGACTTCTTTAGACCCCTCTTCCGCCAAAGTTCGCCCCGAATGCGTTTCCAATTGGAAACCACTCTGATCAGAATTATAGATGTTTTGCAAGCCATAAATCTCAAAATATGGTTTGATCTGTTGCAGGAATTCGTCCGCTGTTTTTTGTAAATCTTTTTGATTTTCCATTGTTTTACGTGTGACAAATTTAGTAATCTTGCGAGATGTGATGCGATCAGCTCTTTTGAAGTAATGTAGCCACCATGCCGAGGCCTTGAAACGAATATCTTGATATCCAATATCTCGTTGAGCTTGCAGAGCCCATCTTCGTAGGTCGGCATCTTGAACAATTACAATGAGAGCCCCGCATCGATAGCATTTTTCATATTTTTTAACGTGTACTCTGATATTCGTTTCAACTTTTCCATACAAGTTCCTCCTTTATTGACATGATGTGCCCAACGACGTAATTGCTGGACCGATTTCACTCTTTTGAATTTATTGGAAACAGTTGTTATAGACAGATTTTTCTTTTTTTTTGGACTCCTCCAGTATTCGACTGCTCTTTTTTTAGTCATAGTCTACAAGTTCGTCATCCCCTGAATAACTATCAGATGATTCTTTATGATGTGGTTGAAATTCTGTATCCTCAATTGGTATCATTTCGATGTCTTTGTATGGCTCTTGGAAATCAAGAGTTAATTCTTCAATAATTTCCACCCCATTATATTCTTCCATAGTTCGTTGCAATATATTCTCGAAATGAGTTGCCAATTCATTCATTCATTAGTCACAGGGGTTTCGCCAAGATTCAGCACTTCAAATGTTGCCATGAGGATCTTAATAACGTTTATAGGATTGAATCTCATGATGGAAAGAATTCGGAATATACGATTAACAAGAGACAGTTTTGCCGTGATGTGTTTACGTAAACTGAACGCTGCGCAAAATGAAAGTGAATAATATTCAGGGTTATTAATAATACATGATTACTGCATGATGGATTACGTATTGTTGGATATAGATGACACGTGCACGGCTATTTGCATTTTGTTTGGATTTATTATCGCTTTCAGCAGTGTGTTATCATCACATATATACTATAATAATGAAGTCTCTTAGAACCATTACCCCGGTTCCTCCGACATATGAAAAAAACAAGTTCAATCATTCGTTGAACGATATGGAAAAATTCCGATTATTTAGCAAATTTTTTTTCGTACTCGTCACTGCTTTTTCTTCAAATATAACCACCCTGTTGCTGTACCTGAAGAAAAAGGAAATTTTCTTCCAAAGAATCTTTTCTTTGATCTATTTCTATCGTTATTCGTTTATCGCCGAATTTTGGAAAAATATCATTTTCACGTGTGGATTAGTGAGATCAAAATTGAGGCTTGGGATATCTGGAATCCAATTTTATTCTTTCATAAAAAGGGATACTGTATTATTTCATATCTCTTCCGATGCAATCATTTCCATGAAAGCCAATAGTTGTTTGATAAAAAAATATTATTTCGCGGGGGTAATAACCCCGTCAACTTCAACCCCGAGAGGAACTATTATTGGATATTCTC